GTGACACATTTCTGACACCAATTACAATGGCAATACTGGAAAAAGCAAGGATAGATAATAAGTATTGTGAGACAATACGTAGTAGTACTAATTTGTATGAGGTGGTTGAATTCAATAAAGGTTACACCGTGAGATTGGATAGCCATGAGTGTGCTTGTAGACGTTGGGATCTAACAGGTATGTCTTCATACTATTTTTGTAATTTTTATGATATCCTTCTATTACTAAACCTGTTTTGTTCATAGGAATACCATGCAGACATGCAATATGTGTTCTAGATGACAACAAATAGGATGCTGAGAAGTATGTTGCTGAATATTACACTGCTATTGTCATGAAGAATACTTATGAGGATAATATCAAACCAGTCAATGGTGAAGACATGTTGAGTGACATAGAGAAGCCTGCAATTGGTATTCCAGAGATTAGGAAGCCCCGAGGAAGACCTAAACTGCGTGACAGAAGGAAATAGCCATTTGAGGATCTACAAAAACCATACAAATCAACAAGGCATGGAAGAATACAACATTACAACAAATGTGGTGAAACTGGACATATCATACGCAGTTGTAAGAATGAGAAAGTTATTGTGGAGGGACCAAAAAATAAAGAGGCCGACCCCGAAAACATCCAAAAGACGTAAGTTAACTTCTTTTCCTAGAGTTCTATACTCTTATATTTTTATAGCCACTGATTGTGATTATTAATTTGCTATAGGTGATTCCGAAACGTCCTACATAACCAAAGAAGAAGAAACAGACCACTACAAGTATCAGCAACACTCAGCCTGCCCAGCCGGCTGAAGCTAGTGGTTCTTATCCTGCTGCATCAAGTGCTTCTCAACCATCAGTCTCTACAAAGAAACAACCCAGGAAGCGCAAGAGAGGACCACCATTGAAGATATCAGAGGCCAATATTATTCCAACAGTTTCAAGTACTCTTATGAGTCCCTTTACGACTCGAGCATTTGATGTTTTCACATCCATTTCAAGGGGATCACATCGTCCATCTGACACTCCATCAGAGCCTAAAGAACCTTAATTATGTGTATTTTGGATTGAATGTTTCTTTATATTAAGCATTAAAACTAATTTTGGATGTTTTGGATTGTATTAAGGGGATTAAGTATATTGAAAGTTTCTTTCTTAGGTACTATAACTGATTTTAAGATGATTTAGTATGTCCAATGTTTCTGATCTCTTTCATTCATTACCATAAAACAAATAAGTACTAACATAACAAATACCATAAAAGTAGACAAATACCATTTGTTTGTTAACACAAACCAGATATAAGTCACAAATAAGTCTAAGCCATACCATATTGTCTTATAAAAGCAAAAAAAAAATCAAGTTGTAAACAGATAATAACACAAATTACCATTTGTTTGTTAACACAAACCAAATATAAGTCACAATTCTTGATCTCCAAGGTTGTTAATGCTGCTTCCATATCCCAACCATGAATCCAAGTGCCACTGTAAATCCAACAGTTGGTGATATGAGGACATTACGATAAATCCTGCTCCTCTCGGTTAAAATGAACACGTCTCTTTTCAGTCCTTCACATTCTTCCCAGTTTGCTTCAACTCTTCCTTTACTGCAGTTGGGTCTTGCACACCCTCAGTATCCCGACTCAATTTCCTTACTTCTTCCTTTAAGTTCTTAATCTCCTCTTTTTGTTCCCGCATTATATCTCTTGCCTCTACCAAAGCTAGATGTTGCCATCCATTTGGTTTCTCTAAATCATACCAACGGAAGAAATTGCAATTCTGATATCTTTACGCGATCTTACGGTCTGGACAACCATAAAACCTCCGTCCAGGGTTGTCTTTAGTCCAAACTCTCACAATCTTAGTTGTTCGGTTACAATTACAAAGAACACCATTCTCATTGTTCGATTCAATGTTTGACGAACTTGCACTCTGTGACAAACTTGCACTCTGAGCCATCTACAATTGAATCATATACATTTCATCTTTCAAGCTCAAGAATTCCAATTATTCTGATTACTTCGAATTTTTGTCAATTATCCCTAAATCAACAATATAGAAAAAGACTAATAGTTCATGTTTCGAATACAACAAGAATAACAAGAATGATAGAGAACTTACCTTTTTCTCTTACCAACCAAGTCGCTGCAGTTTTGCCCCGTAATCTCCCCACGAATTGACCCAGAAAACTCGAATTTCTCCTTCACCACTAAGAACCCTAATTCGAAATCGATTTGGGCGTTTTTTTTTACCCATATCCCGTGTTTTGTTTTCTTTTTATTTAAAACACACATCTTTTTTTTTTAAAAAAAAAATAAATTAATCAGACACGTTGTTTAAACGGTGTTGACTGATTTTTAAACGGGGTTAAAATTCTGTTAACGGTGTCTACTGTTCCGTTAAAAATTTTGGCGGCGCGTACACAAATACCATGTTGACGATTTAAAATGTCTACATTGCCATCTTGGAGGTTTAAAATGATAGTGGTAAATCTTGGAGGTTTAAAGTGTAAATGGTAGTTATCTTGAAGATTTTTTATGCGATTTTCCTGTATAGTATAGTTAAACACTAATTGAAAAAAATTGTTTGATATTCTTGTACTATATTCTTAAATTCAAATAATTTATGTTAAAACATATCGATTGTGTACTTTATATTTGCAAATTTCGAATTGGTTATGCTATCTTAATTAAAATTTTCCAATTTAGCAAGCATTGGTGTAACTTTTAAGCAAACAAAATATATAGATATATTTGTACTCGAGAATTATTTATGTAGTTTCGCTTTACGTGTGGTGATGGTGAGACGACAGTGTTTGTGCTTGGACGGGATACATGTCAACTACTCAAACGTGCAACTCTAAAATACATTAATTGCCCATCCTGCATCGAAATCTTGGCCATTATAATTAATCTATTGAATAAT